GTTGTCGAGCTCGAAGCAGGTCGCTGTGTGGATGTTGTTCCACCTGACGGTGTCCGAGCAGTTGGCGAGCTCGAAGCTGGCTGCGGTGCAGTTGTCGTTCCACCTGACGGTGCCCGGGCAGTTGTCGAGCTCGAAGCCGGCCGCGGTGTAGTTGTCGATCTGGGTGTTGTTGACCAAGCAGTTGTTGATCTAGATGTTGAGATGAAAGTGGTTTGACCGGTGTGCAGTGGAAGGCTGAGAAATAGTATCAGCATGGGCAAACTAAGCATAGTATCGCGAATGCAGTAGTAGAGCGATGATCGATGTGTGTTGTGTTTCTTGTGTCCTCAGCCCTTTTTATGTTCGTCGAATGCGAAAGCAATTTTTTCTTTGCTCACACTAATCGAGCGGAAAATATTGGATTTCTGTCTTTTGTATTTCGAGTTCTTTCGTTTCAGTAGCCTTCGCATTAATTCATTCTTCTGGAAGCGATGAATTAAGAGTCCCTCGGAGAACACGACCGCGATAGATTAATTTTGTCGCATAATCACGTCTGCTTTTCACATTTTAAGACCTTCATTTATTGACGTAAACCTCCACCCAGTTTAGAAGCCCCCAGGCGCTTCCAATTTGTCGATCATCCGAAATTTTCGGCGGGGGCTTCTATTAAGTCGTAAAATTTTCAATATTTGTTAAGGGCAAAAGATTTCAAAGGACTTGAGGGATTTTTAGGGTTTTGAAGAGTTGTTCAGACGACTTTTTATGAGATTTCAGGATTTTTATGCTGATAGGTAAGGTAATTAAACATATTCTCACCTTAAGATCGCGAATTTTGAGAGCTTTTGGGTGAAAGTATCAAGAAAAATTTTCAAAAAGCTTTTCAAATCAGGAGATTTCTAATACACCTTTCACATTGTCCCCTCTAGAGGGGTTTCTAACAATGGGAAGGAGGCTTCTATTGCGGGAGGGAGTCTACTATTGAATGGCTTCAGCCACTGTTTTCGTAATGTAGCTGAAAGAATGATGAGATGCTGCTGCAAATCGTCAGTGCCCATGAATCACGGCATATAATATGTCTCATGAGGGAGTGTATGATGAATGAAGCCACATCAGTGCTTTGGACAGCATATTTTGTGAACACGATCTAAAAGAAATGTTGAAGCAAGATATAAGGTAGAAATTAGCACCCACTCTCCCCCTCTCCACAGTCGACAGCCAGATGGAAAAATGGATTTTCTGAGATTTCAACGAAAAATGTTGATGAGATGAAAGCTGCCGTAATTCTGCTTTTAGCTACAAATTGTATTCTGGTTCTAAGAGACTAGCCATCTTGTATAAGCAACTACGACAAAGTATGTAAAACGGGTCTATATCACTGATAGAATCCTGCAAGTAAAATTTATGTTCCAAATTCGTGACCTAATTATATTCATTAGGCATTATGCAGCTATTGTGCGGTATATGTTTATTGTATAATACTGACCTTTCGGACTTTCTGAAGTTTCTTTTGCTCCAATAAGGTCACAAATCTACTTATAATATACTAAAATACAACGACTAACGAATAATGGGATTTTTTCCGAATTTTCGCCGGACTTTCATTTGAATTTTGATTCACTCTTTAATAGGACATGTGATTATCCATCTTGATTGGATGCGCCAAGATGAACACTTAAGCGCTTATTAAGATATGATGTCGCAAATATAATGTTCAATGTTAATCCATTGAGAGTGGCTTGTATAATAAATACGTATCTTTGAGATAGATTAGGTTTCCAAAAGACAATACAAATCCAAATTCATGAATTTTCACACGTCTACATAGATTGTCTAGTTCTAAATGTACGCAATCTATTGATAGCTCCCAACTTAGCAGTTCTCATGGAGAAACGTTGGTAATTTGCGAGGGAGCCTTTCCAGCTGCTGATTGCTTATGCTTTGTGACTGTGTTCATTCAATGAATAGTGGCAAGCATTGAAGAGTTTCGAATGATTTTATTTTCCATGCCTTCATTCTTGTGACATTTAAGTTTCACCGAATTATTCAACAAAACTCTGTAGTCCCTCTCAGATCATATTGACAGCTGTTTTTTCGGTTTTGCTTTGAGGTTTTGCACAATGACTGCTATTAATAAAATCACTTCATTCTTAAAGTTTCAGCTTTCTTCGTTGCTTCTGTCATGAAATACAAACATAAGGACACCATTTGATTCTTGAACTAAGAAAATTTTCGATATGCATATCTCAAAAGCAGATGCAACCAAGAAAGTTGAAACTTCCAGAATGAACAAACTCCCTTTAGAATATTAGTTGTACAAACTGTCAAATCAAAACTTGAAAGTCAGCTTTCAACATGAGCTGAGGGGCACTAGAGGATTTTGTTGAAAATTTCAGTAAAAAATCTATTTCTGAGAAACCTGATGAGTAAAAGAAGCTAGATAAGCACATATAGTCAGAACCAGTTGTAAAGCATAATTGCGTAAAAAAGGAAGTCATTAGCTGCAGCAATTCTTGGAATTGCTTCGAGCTTCTTTTTTTGTCTACGGTGTCCGCCCCCCCCCCCCCCATTCGTCTTTCACAGACCATGACAGACAGTCTTGAGTAATCATGACACACATTAATAAACTACGAATGCCTGCATATTAATAACATTTCATTCGAATATATGAACTATTTCCTTATTGCAGCTCTGAATGACTAAGTAATGAATGATGAAAAAATATGTCCCAAAATAGATCGAATAAAACCATTTCCTTCTGATTAGGGATGACGACTCTATCAGGTTTCAAAGATCAATCCCGCCGAAATTGTACTGGTATGTGTTTTTTTTTACTGTTTCTTATTTGGAGATTTTTGATACAGCATTTCTTGCCAATTACTCCACAACATCATCACAGACAACCAGTTTATGGAGAACTTTAGTGCTAAGTTGACAATGCATATCGATTATTTTTAGAGTATTGTTTAGGTGGTATCATCGCGAAAAGAAAAAAGAGATCCATATTTTAGAACCATGACTATTTGCGTCAGTCTTTGATTTTGGATTGTAAACATGAAATTGCTGATCTTCATATTTGAATATGGTTGATAAATACATTGTTCGAGATGGAAAATAAAAATTGGAATGTAACAATTTTGTGCAAGAATCGTGCTCATATATTAATATCGATCCAATCCCTCGTCATACCATCAGCAAAAATAGACATATATGTAAGATGATTCATCTGAGATAATAAAAGTCCGATTTCGACCATTATGATACGGTGAGTAGAAATCGACGATCACTGAAAACTGATTGGTTGTTGAATTTCTAGACTAGAGTCGCCTTGTCACAGTTCTATTTTTAGTTGATGAAGCATTGGCACGACGGGAAAATTGACAATATTTATCAATCCTTGGTCTGGTCACAGTCAAATCTTGTATAGAAGAAACTTTTATTAGAGAATGAATTGACGGAATGGTCACCGTTGCAGGTCGTGAACAATACAATCTGATATTGAGACGTCCAAGTGATCGTAGAGTAAAGATGAGATCGTCGAAAATGAGTGACATCAATATCGACAATGCTTTAGTGCAATTACGATCGACAGAAATAGATTTTAACGAGATAAGCAATGTTAGTTGAGTTTTTATTGAATTTCATACATTCGAATTGATGTGAGACAAAATAATCGTATGTAGACCTCAAAATGTATTGTGAATAATGTTGATAAAATGTAAGAAACGATCGATCTTGATACTTGCCATCGGACTATCATTGTGAGATAACTTAAGTGAAACAACTTGAGATGAAATCGTTGATAGATATGAACAGATAAGATTGAACTGATTCTTTCTTTGAGCTACACAACTATAGTCGATCCGGAAGCGAGGATAACCAAACACAGTATCATGAAGACGTGTGCTTACCATATATACCGACGTCAACGTGCCAACGATTGAAGTAGTGTTAATAATTTCATGAATTAATTTCACACATATATGTTGTAGACAAAATTGAGATCCAGGCATATTCAAAATTTGCCTAGACAAAACTAGAATGCGACTCGAGATAAATTCATAGAATCAAAACAACTAAAACTGAATAGAAATTTTTTTTTTCAACAACACTTCTTCATTTTACTAAACAATCTACAAGACAAAACATTGTAATTTATTCTCCCATAGTTATATAACCACCTTGTTTTGAATGACATTTTGTCGAACAAAACACTCCCATTTTTGTTGCATGAACATTGTTTTGTAGTGCCCTTGTCTTTACAATCATAAGTTCTAGCAGTTATTGATGCGCGTACATAAAGTGTATATGCCTCAATGATTGTAATATCCTTTGAATCATGAATAACCATTTTTTATATTCTTTTGGACAAGCCATTTTTAAATCAATAAGATGTTCAACTGAATATGTATTTTCTAATTTTTCGTATTGACGCACCAATTCCAACGTCATTTTTTCATCTTTTTCAATTTTTTCGACAAATAAGTATGATAAAAGTTAAATATCAGTATTGGTTCTATCAACTGTATTAATTTTAATATCAACACAATCATTTTTATTAAATTTTTCTGTTTCATTAATTATATTATCTTGATAAAACTCAATTTTTTTTATTCGCAACAATCAAATAATTATCGGTGGCCATTTTTCAAATAAGATCATGTTTTGTTTGTTGTGATTTAACTGATGGCGAATATGGTTACAAAATATCAGTTAATGAACTTGCAACAGCATCATCAGATAATTGTTGAACAAGTTGAATAATATCTTCATCAATATTATTGACATAATCATTAAAATCATCATTTGAATCAGCAACTGGAGTTAATAAATCTTATTAATCAATAGCTCTATTTTTTTCAGCAAGTTTCGAAAAATCTGCATCGGAACAAGGTGCTTGCCCGAACATCACTTGATATGGAGTTGTTTTAGTGACAACCAATAATCTTGTATTAATGCCATAAACTATGGTTAATAAACCATGTGACCAATGTGACGTGTTATTTATATGACTCTAAGAAAAATCATATCGAAAAAGAATTCTTTTAATTCATATATTACACTTGCGATAAATTCACATCTATTGTCACTATGTAATATTGTTGGTGGATCAAAAACAAAAAATAATTCACGGTAATTTTAATGCTACATCAACATCACTTTTGTTTTTCAATGAATATGCCCAAGTAAGTTGGGTGAAATGGTCAATAAAATTCAAGATCCAATTATAAGTAGTGTCTGACTTTAATACATCAAGTCTCGTTCTTCTATCTATCAAATCAACTTGTAACCTTGTCATTACTCCAAGTGAAATAATAGATTTGATAGTAACATGTTGTTTAAGTGGCTTTCGTGTCTGACACGAAACACATTGTTTTAGAAGCATTTCAACAGTAAATCGTGAAATTCATGGATAATGGGGATTCAGTTCATGTATTGTTTTATCACGACCTCTGTGAGAAATAGTAGTATGTGCTTCAAGTATAATATTATAATAAGTTTCACAAATACAAATGGATTTTTTGAATTTTACACCACAAGCGATATCAACATCAGCAATTTTAATTGCAATGAAACGTTTTTCACCCAAAAAATAAATTTTGAAGAAAATAAGCTCAATGGCTTTTCCTTGGATAATAGTAAATATTTAACAATATCATCACAAACACTTTATTTTATAATACTTTTTTTCTTGAAATTTTTATTTAAGGAACTAATATGTTTTTCTAATTTCGTATAATAAATCAATTCGCCATTATCTCTTTGAACTATCCTTGAATTCGATTCAAACTTTTTTTTATCAGATTGTAATGTGTACATCTATATTTATATTGCTTAGCAGAAAGACCGATATTATTATAGTTTTCTCTCCATTTTTTTTTGAAGTCCTATCTACTTTTGATAAAGCACGTGATTGTGGGAATTTATCTCCAGTCGCATTATAATTTTGCTTAGGCAAATTTTAAATTTGCCTGAATCTCAATGTTGCCTACAACATATGTGTATATAGATAATCGAAGTCTACGAGCGATGATAAGCAAACAATGTACGTCCGTTTCGTTCTTAGAGACGATAAAGAGTGAATGTGGGGTGTCTGGTTGATTGCGAAACTGAGATCATACCCACACCCTTTTCCATCTATCGTTTATTTTCAAAGAGTGGATATTCATATCAAACAACTTATTCTGATCAAAAATTAAATTGAAAAAGCTTCTATGTATAATGAAAAAGAAAGTGTAGGGTAACAGTTTGAAGAAATAGTACATATTTGATACTTGTCGTCTAACGTAAAAGCGAACATTCTTGGTTCTGTTAATCTAGATATCTTAAGATTCAATATATTATTGAAAAAAGCAAGTATATCAAATTGACATTTACAAGTGCATAGTCGATGATAACAAATATAAAGAAGCTCAATTTTTATCAGAGAAATTATTTGATATTCGATGATCAATAACATTTAAAAGATAGATGCTCTCTGTAGCATTTAGTCTTTACAACGTTAAGACGTGACATTGTTGTTTCTCATCGTGCTGGTAAACATATGAAAAAGAATAGCTTTGCATTTGAAGGAAACAAACACGAGATAAACACTATTTGTTATTTTTTGAAATGATTAGCACGTTTGCTGTGTTCTTCAAGTGAAGGAAATATATTTTGTCGCTAACAGATATTGTGTGGAATGTATTATAACTACCGCGTCATGTTGTGATTTCTGTTTTAAATTTAATATATTTGTAATTACAATGCTAACCGAAGTTACTCAAGAAAAAGGACATATGAAGTCCTTAGCCTATAATGATGTCAAAAAAGAAATTTGTTTATTACAACGATGGGTGTGGGTGTGGATATGTGTTTTTCTTCTTCATTTCTCGACACCCACACCCACAATCTCTATTCTCTAGTCGAGATATTGGAATTACAAAAAATACTCTGAAGGATAAAACAGGATGTAGGTGTAATTTTCGTTCGAGAACAGATCTACATCCACATACCATCCCGCACTCTAGCTAAAAATCTTTGATCGATATTAGCGAAGAATGTTTCAATAGTTTCGTCTTGTGGACTACTTGAAATTGATCGTGAAAATGAAGTCGATTCGGTTGCAAATACAAACGAAATGAATTATCCCATATCAATCGTGATTGATTGATCTAGATTGAAAACGAAACGGCTTATATATTTTGTATCCATTTTAGTTAGCTTATTGACAATTAAATAGCTAGAGCATTGTTATTTTTGATTTGCATCAAAAAAGCTTTCATGATTGAATTTTCTTAACTATCTAAAACTTGTTCAACAAAAACTTTGGAGACATCTATACCGATACGAAGTTTTAAGACTGAAATAAATTATCAATGTGTTTTCATTCGATCAAGCATTTTTGTATTGCTGTCGTGATATTTAACAAACGTCTAAACTTTAATAATTACATGTTTATTGGAATCTGATAAAAAACAAATCATCATAAGATACAGTTTCTGTTGTCGTAATAATGATTGAAAATAAATCTGAAGTTTATCATTCATTTCTCTTATACCAGATCATAGAATAGACATGCTCAGGTTTAAAAAGCCCTTTTTCTCGTAAATCATATTGAAAATCAACACAAATTCTCTTCTTGAACAAGAATGAACAAAATTATCTAAACAATGAAACTATCCCAATCGAAATTACATGTTTTATTATCGTTAATGACAAGAACAAATATTACAGTTACAATTTCGATTTAACAGTTATAGTTGGTAATTTATAATTTTCTTTGAAATTCTCAACGACTGCTGGAAGAACAGGCGATTCAATTGATCCATAACCAGCATCAGCGACAAGCATTTGTGGTGTTAAAGATCGTGGAGTGACCGTTAGTCGTGCCAAAAGAGAACAAGACACTTCTTGATTTTTATCGAGAATCATCGATTGTGCAATGTAGAAAGCATGATCATCCCATCCGATTAGACGAGCAGTAAACATAAATCGATCTCCTCGTGAAACACTCTGCCGATATTGAACTTGAATTGCACTGGCAAACATATACGATTCGGGTTCAGTCTTTCGTCGAGCCATGAGCGCATCCCACAATCCAGTTTCAATTATCAAAGTAAATCGACTGAAGTCAGCTTCACGTAAATAACGTCCATTGTTCATATGCCAATTTATGTCAAGATCATTCAATCCACAACGTCCTTTTGTGACTGACTCATCCCAGAGATTTTTTTTCTTCTTCTTCGATCGATTTAATCGATGTCGAAGACCGATTTCAATCACACGTAAAAAATAGCCAACATCGAGCATTTCTTAACAAGGCCAGACTAATATCGCGAGACTCTGTTGAAATCGTTCTATTGATTGACAAGAGAGACCAATGACAAGCAAGAAAACTCTGTTCTTCTTCCATGGTAAATTGTCGATAGAGGGAGTTCGTTTTCTTTCGAGAGTTTACTACTCATTTTTTAAACTTTTTCAGTTTGTTTTTCTTTTCATTGATTTCAAAACAGCAAGAGCAACAAATTTCATTATTTGAAAATCGTTGCTTAGCATGACCAGTTCAAAAAAACAAGATCTATTACTAACAATTCTTCACAATTTTCAATCATTTGTTACTATATTTTAAATGAAATCAATGAAATGCATTAATCAGATATTGATGTATTTTATGTTTTATCTTTGAAGAGTATGTTTTGATTCGCCGATAATATTTTGTTTATGTGTTTTGTCAAGATTGAGACAGATGAGAGTAATTTTGCATCAGAAAGGTGGATGTTATCCAAAGTTCACATAGATTTCTAAGTGATTCACAAAGACTACAAAATTCCTCAAAAATATCTAAAGTCTATTGACAATAGTCAATCAATGCATCATGAAGATTAAGATTAGTAGTATTGTGTGTAACCTGACCAAATATCAGATTAGTGCATAAAAAAAGCGTACCATTTGCCTTTATTGAAAAATCAGCACTATCCATATTCATCAGCCGAATGATGCTGAAAGGAAAATTTTTGATTACAGATCATGAATGTTTTACTTTCATCGATTGATCATTATCATCTGTTGAATTTTGTTGATTGTCAATGTGTGAAACTAGATTTGATTGTTTCTAATTAGTGTATCAAACAGTTTTAAAAAAGCAAGAATCAGTCGGAGCGAGTTGGTGTATAATTAGAGATACACAAGACCGATTTACAAGATCTTTATAGAATTACGATGTACTTCAGAAATTTTTGGTTTCGTACAACAGATCATCTTTAAGAAAAAAGTTTAATTTCTGAGCAGAATAAAACTCGATTTTTTTTATGTCCATAGAAACAATAATTTAATAAATTTTGCGCACCCATTCAAATATTTTTTCCGGCAAAATCTGATTAAAACGGATAATATTACTAACGATCGATTATCACTTAGTATGATTTTGCAGTCTAAAAGCGACCGATGTTTTTGTTTTAATAGATTAAAACAAGATTTCTTTTTCTAAATTGAATGAGAAGTTGGAAAAATGAAAAAATCACTTATCTTTAGTCCGTTGTATCAGATTTTTCCAAATTTTTTTACGTTGAATATTCACTCCTGTAATATTTTCAAATTCTTTTTTGAAAAATTGCTAATTGTTTTTTGGAGTCGGTAATTAAAACCAATAAAACCAATATAAAGTTAGAATTATATCAGTATGGGTAAAGCAATGAAAATTCAATCAATTTCGAATATATTTTTATATAAAAATTACAGTTCACTGTACAATCAGACACATTATTTGAAATAAATATTTTTGGATGGCAGCAGATAGAGTTTCTCGAACCCATAACCTTTTGTTTCCATATTCTTATCTAATTCGTACTCATAATATTCTTAATAAAATTTTGTAATCCATATTGATAGTTATTGTGAAAATAGAAGATGCTTTTTATTTTATTTTCATCCAGCCCATAGCAGTGTCTACATATTCCTCAGATTATCTTGACTATTACTTTTAGAGTAAAAAAGCTTTGAGCTAGATCCCGACTCGATAGGTTCTAGTGCCTCCCGAAAGCACACTTTTAAATGCGTAGCATATATATTCTCGGCATTTAATTGACAGCAGCTAGTGATTGTTCTCAACAAGTTTTCGCGTAATTTTATTATTTCTTCATCATTGTGAAAAAGTTACTTGGAAGTTGTTAGGAGCAGTGTATCAGAACTCTTGCTTTTAAACGTTCGTTCTACAAGTTTGTATGAAAAAAAAATTCAATAGTTTCCTGATTATGTGTGGGAGAATTATTTATCGAGTAGAGTATGGCATAGAAAAATGGTGAGAGTGTCGAAAATAAGGTAAAACTTCTGATATAAGATCAACATACAATTCTATCTAACAGAAATGTTCCATAGAATCTTTCTCTTTTAAAATACCACGTGTTTAATAATAGAGTGATATAAGAGACCTATGAAAAATGATTGTCATAGTACCATTGGCGAAAAACTTTTCGGCAAAAGGATCCCCTTCTGTGATGATAAAAGTTAATAGACAACAAACATATTCATCGGAAAATTAAATCTATGAAGGATTATTTGTATAAATATGAGCAATGATTGTATTCTAGTTAAACGTTGAAAATTTAGAATTTCGAAAAAATTCTAAAATCGAAAAGTTTCCTAATTTTTCAGACGATCTAATAGCTCTTTTAGAAACCCATATCAATTTGAAAAATTCCACCAATCGTTTTTACTAATTTTGATAGACGTTTCAATCGAATTTGTATATTTTATGTCAATACTTACTTGATTTTCACTTCATACTTAACCAATAGTAATAAGGTAGATTATTTTGATTAGTATGCGATTGATTCGAGCGAATTCATAATACTGTTTTTAGAAAACACTACTCAACTTAAGAAATTTTTCGCTACATGGTAATATGAACACATATGTTTATAATGAATTGATATTACCACTTCTACAGTGAATACTGAGTTTAGAAAAGTTGGACTTGTATCTTATAGCTTATGTCAAACAAACATTTGTTGATGGTAACAAAATTGAAGAATAATATTATCAATCATATATCATGGATTCTTTGACTTTATCTGTAAAATAATCCTTGTACAAAACCGATTTCTTAATATCTATATGATAAATGCCGTGTAGCTCAATATGTAAAAATCTATTTTTTTACACAAGAATATTTTGATTATTATTCATGATTATTGAAATAAAATTATTTTATATTTAAATGAAAGGAACTAAACCTATACACATATAAGAATGATCACATATGACAATAGACCAGTGGTAAAATGGCAGCAGACAAAAAAAATTAATTTTATTTAGAATAAAACGTGCCAGTCGAAGTAGACCTGGTTTCATATGAGATGTGATAAATTTTTTAGAATTTGAGAATTGATATCAAGCTAAGAATTTTAGAATAAAACGCTTTATTCAAAATCTATATTGACTTAAAATCTAAAATCTGAAATAATTTTTTCATGAAGAGAACAATGTGTTTCGTAAGATAGCTTTTAGAATTTCCTAGGCTGCATTGAATGTAAGTCATTGTCAATATTGCTCAATCGATGTCACTGGCATTAAAAATCATTAAGGTTCATCTGATGAGTCACACCCTCAAGAATTAATTGCTATTCTAGTCAATATTTGTATAGAATATTAAACTATACACGTTATTATATGGATGAAATTTTCGAAGAACACGCTATTGTATTACATTTGTCTAAAAAATATATATTGAATTGTAAAAGAATCGATCTTTCTTTATGCAAATGTGAAATGTTATGTGTTCCGTTAGTTGTCTAATTCGAATTCGCATATGAATGAAGATTTCCTAGTAGTCCATTTCACATTCAAAATAATAATTCTATTCGTTTATTTAGAGAGACTGTTTATTGAGAAATTTAGATAAAAAGAAAAGTTTATACGATATATAACTGAAACTGGTCATAGAACGAGAAATTTATGATAATATCTGTTGAAAAGTATTTTAAAATTGAGTTAGATGGAAATTCCGATTTGACGTTTAATTTTAATCTTATTAGGGCATATGAAAAGTATCAGTGTCAAATAGAAAGTGGAATTCATGTCTTAATTTTATAAGGCTTCACTTTTGGACAATGGGCGTAAAAGAAATGTGGCCATTCTTTAACAGTTGCCTTCTTTCTCATTCTCTTGTTTTTAAATCGGAAATCTTATTTTAAAATTAGATTTGGACATAGTCTATCAGATTTTATCTTTAAGAGTGTGGATGCGGCAGTGGGTATAGGTTAAGAGAACACCAGCACTTAAGCTCCCACAGCCATCCACACTCACAGCTTCAAACTTCATTTTCGAAGATAAAAGTACATAATAACTACTTATTCATAATCAACTTGAACAGATTTCTTAGTTTAATTGCATAAAATAAGATTATCAATTTATCGAAATCTATCAAAAAGCGTTCCAGTTGTTCCATAGTTCAGCGTCGAATGCCAAACGGCCGAGATGAATATCTCGCCAATTATCTGCCGCTTTTGTTACTTTTACCATGCCCACTGTGTAGTTCTCAATCGCTAAACCTTTCTTATCCTGAGACTGATTTCCAATTGTGACCTTGCGACCATTCTTGTCGGAGAATGCTTTAAAAAGACTGATCTGTGAGTATTTATCTAAACCATTCCAGTTTTCAATCCAAAGATTCCTGATTATAACACATTGAATGCTCGAAAGCGCATAGATCCGCATAGCACAAGGGCTCATACCTTCGGAACGGACATTAGCTATGGTTAAGTTGGTGATAAACTGATTTGGATCTGCTGTTTTGGTCGAATCCGTATCCGCATAGTGTGTAGCTGAATTGATAATGCAAGTATTGAATTTAATATCAGACCACCAGATTCGGTTATGAATAATATCGATGCCATCCACTATTACATTGCGTATAGTTCTCGGTGACCAGCCCCATTGAATGACCGGTCCGTTTTCATTCTTCCACACGACAATATTATTCACTTTCACATCAGAATGATAGATCTTCAGAACATCGTCATTGGAGTGAAAAAATGTGTTCTCCACTAGGCTTCCGCTATAGATTTCTAAACCATCTGTTTGCCAATACCAGCTGCCTACTTGATGATAAGATGAAACAGACATATGAAACGTATGCTCATCTCCGTAGACAACAAATGAATGGTATGGTGGCTCGGACACTGTAATACCTTGTAAATGAAGATGTTGTTGTTTATTGAACCCAGAATTGAAGCGAAGCATTTTAACACATGTTGCCCAGCATTGTTCAACGATTGTATGATGATAGTTATTGTTGGTGTCTGCCTCATACACATACTTTTCTCCCGAAAGAACACCAAAGCCTGTCACTTTGACATCATCTGTTGACTCGAATTGGAAAGCACCTTTCACATAGGCTCCTGGAGCCAAATATACCCAGCGTACATGACTCGGCAAATGAGCATGATAATCCCATGGCATATAGTAAATGCCCGGTTCGAAATAAATTACAGATTGACTAACCGTATTTAAATTGTTGACTCTTCCTGGTGAAACATAGTAGATATCATCTGTGTCAATATTGGGAATGTATTTATTGATATCGTCATCAGTCAATATCGATTCGGCGAAAATGAGCAAAGCATCTCGTGGTTCAGTATGAATCGCTCTTCCATTAGGGTTCTCCGAAGGACTATTGTTTAAATTGTACGTAGTAAAAAGCTTATTGTTGAATTCGACAGAGAATCTATATTGCTGCTTTGTCAATCATACATAGTCACAATTATTATGTCACTTACCTGTGGCCAGAAGTACGATAAGGTATCAAAATACGAACGGTCGTGCTATTGATCATTTCTTTTTTGAAGTTCAACGTTGTCGGACGAATAGTCACGTCGTGAATGGATTGAATTCTATCCGCCAATTTAAGTAATGTGATTGTCACCCATATGGGAGTCAAATATTGAAATGTGGACCAGCTCATAGTTAGCTTAGTCTTACTGGCAAATTCAGCACCATCCGAATCATTATATTCCCATTTTTCACGACCACCTCGAGGAATAGTCATATAAGTAAATGAATCATACAGAATATACTCGTTAGTGCCTTCTGTGCTGATTTGAACATGATAGACAGTAGAAGCACGCACATGATCATCAGCCACTGGTAAATTATCATTGTAATCAGCGTTATTATGCCACCAAGTGTGAAGTATGCCGCTTATTACGGGTAATGCCAATTGATGATGGCATATACAAAAAAGAACTACGATATGGACAAGAGATGAAGAAAACATTCTTTGTATTACCGATCCAAGACTCAAACTGATAGAAATATCATCAATCATTCTGTTAAGCTCTTTTCTTGCTGTTACTGAGGATCAAGTTTCACTTTTTTCTATTTCTTTCTGCATGCTCGCTACCAATCAGAAGGATATGAAGGTGAGGGACGCTTTTATGTTTTTCAAGACAGACACAGAAATTCTGAATGCAGCGTCGAATATATTCAAAGTGTGAATGTGTCGATATGAGTATGATTGTAATTGTAGAGTAGAGGTGTGTGGGTGAATAATGAGAATACTCACACTCACACTCACATTCTTTTCGTTACTTATTGAACTGTTTCTTGTAACTATTTATCATTTACATATCAGTTTTATGGTTTATTTCAGTGTTTCTTTGGTTCTTTGTTTTGTTGAATGCGGTACATGACTTATAATACAATATTTCCCAGTGGTGCAGCACTTTTGAGCCCGGATTTACTGTATCTTGTAGACCTTTAGCGAATTATGTTTACGATAAAAAAAAGTTCGTGTCCATGGCTTGTTTCTAAGATGCTCGAAACTTTTTTATTATAACAACTATAAGAGGCATTGTGTCAGGAAAAAATTATTATCTCAATCAATACGATTTAAAACGAGTTGGAATTTGACTTACATATAGTTGTATTCATATAGAAGATCATGTGATATTATGAGCACAAAAGAGCTTAGAAAAGCATAGCTTTCAACTGTAGAAAATATTAACGTAGTTCTAAATGTGAATTAGTCTGTTACTTCTTAGGATTACAAGGTTACGAGTGAAAATTCTAGTATATGTACCACTTCTACGATTTCGTTTCACATTTCTCAATGTTGCATGTAATGACAACTCTTATGAATCTTTTTTATTCATCTGCTGCAGTTGGTGCAGGAATAACTTATTCTGTCAACATTTTTTTCCTTTGATTATCGCTTTCATAATAATCTATACAGTTCGTTCCAAAGGTAATTGTTTGTGAGATACAAAGAAATTCCATTTTTTTTTCTCGTTGGTGGAACATGATCTGAAATGAATGTTGAAGTATATAGGGTGGAAATTTGAATCCACTCCCTGGCCCACAGACTGTGATAGACGATTTTAATGCATGATTATCGATTATATATCATTAATATCTCATGAAAATATGTAAACTGCTTCATTTTTTTCAATTCTAAAGGATTAAGTCAAAATTGATGAAAAATGGGCCTGCAGAAAGATCGAATTAAACAATATTCTAGTGATTAGTAAAGACAGCCATATCATGTTTCACTTTTGAATTCCGCAGGGATTGCGCTAACAGCTTTTTGCACTCGGTAGGTAACGTTATTGGTATACTTTTTTTCTATCAGAATCTATAGAAAAATGAATATATTATCGTAGAAACCAAAACTATCCGGCATTCAAAATTGCATTGTGACTTCAGTACTGAATTTACTAAAATGTTTAACCGCATATCTCGTAATCCTAAGAAGTAACATAATAAGTCACATTTAGAATCACGTTAATATTTTCTAAACTTAATAGCTCTGCTTTTCTAAGCTTTTTTGTGCTCATTATGTCACATAATCTTTCACATGAGTACAATTATATGTGAGTAAAATATCAACTCGTTTTAAATCATATTGGTTGAGATAGTCATTTTTTCTTGATAAAATGCCTCGCATAGCAGCTGTTATAGTAAAAATCTTTCGCTTTCCTCAGAAACAAGCCATGAGCACGAACTCTTTTTTTATAATAAACATAGTTCACCAAGGCTTACAAGATACACTAAATCTCGGCTGAAAAATGCTTCGATACTGGAGAATATTCTTTTGCTAGTCCATTCCAGCAAATGCGTGTCAAACATAAATAGTAAATGTTTTAGTTCTGCTTGTTTGAGAAATTAATTATAGATCTTAAGAAATTACATATCGAAGTTCCGTATGAAAGTGAAGCTATTTAGTGGAAAATTATAGACAAGACTGATGTATTCTTTTTTTTAACAGACGACATTGACTGGCATAGATGACACAAGACAGTAGATTGAAAATAGTTGTTTCAAAAACAAAGAATAAAAAGCTAATTCAAAGAAAAACAAAAAACTTTTTACATGAATTCATTGGATATGTTAAAACTTGACCACTATTTTTCTAATAAATCTGATTAAGTTTAATAGTTTTTGTTTTTACTTTTAGCGTGAATTGAAATAATTGACATCAGTCTATTACTAAAAATCTTCTGTATCAATATATGCTATTATTCTTTAGATAATCGTTTTACAATGACACAGATATTGTTTTTTGTAAATATGAAGGAATCAACTGAATAAATATCAAGATCAAAATAAGATTCATTAAATAGCAATAGAATAATAGGATGAATTTTGGTGGAACTCACATATATTTTCGAAGAAAATAGGTGTCGATGTAAGTGTTCGTATGTTTTTCTATCGAACATCCATATCTACACTATGAGTAGTGTTTAGTAATTTCCACATCAGTAAGCCGATGGAGGATGATTGATAATTAGATAAAAGAACAAATTTTCACGATGAAAACTTCACCAAGAAAAGTGGAACCTACTATCTCAGTCCTATGAATGTGATCAAACTTGAATGGGTACCCGTGATCATGATTACATTACGTTCTAGTTGTCGTAGAAACTTTAAATATAAATAACTCCTATTTGGATAGTTTTTGCCTAGATGTGGAACTTTAGTCCACGAATGTAAATATATTTTTCTTTACAAACATGATTAAGTAGACATATTGAAATATTGATATCTGAAACTTTATAGAATTAAAAATTGAGTGTGTAATAGAAAGAAATAAACGCAAAAAAAAGAGCATGTAGACAACGAAGAAATGAAAGAAAACTATGCACTACAATAAGAATAATCACTATGACAAATGTTTAAACATCGTTATTAAACCATAGCTTTACTTCCGAATGCCGAACAAACTAAGAATATATACAAATATATAAATAACATCAATATAAAGCATAAGTGATGCAGAAATATGATCTTCAGCACTTATTTCGTGTCGTTTTCCACCCATAATTAATTGTGTATCAACAGCCAAGAACTAACAATAGAAAATAATTTCTTTCAATTTCTTAATTAATAAAACTTACAATCGAAAAAGCCACAGCTCCAAGACCAGCATAGATTGTATACATTATCTTAAAGAAAGAAATATTTTTAGAAAAAAAAAAAAAAAACATAACATCAATATTTTGTTTGTTTAAAATATTTACTCTTGAATATGTAAAAATACAAATAAATCCAAAAGCTATAAGTGCCAAGGACATAATCAATAGAATTCCAAAACATGATGTAAAATCATATTTTGTTTGAAATGAAAATAATGTAATACCGAAACAAACAATTGTCGTAATACCAACAGCAATTAAGACTGATTCGATTTCATAGTATGCTGAAATCATACCCATCTAAAGTTTTGTTTAAAAAAAAAAGAAACTATTTAATACATAAATAATATTTAAATTGAATCATACCATATAACTCATTGATAAGGTCTAAAATTAAAAATTTGATTTTTTAATTGATTTAATTTAATTTTCTTTTTTTTACCACAATGCCGAGTAAAATAAGGTTAACTGGAAATTTTCGTCCAGCACTTTTAGAACAAACCAATATACAATAAGTAACCAAAAAAACAAAATATGATGCGAAATAAAGCCATTGACCATCCGGACTTCGTACGTATTCACGAATCAATGGTCTACAATACATATATGTATATCGTATATTAACTTTCAATGTCTTGTATTAGAAAAAAAAAACATACGTAAAATGAAATACTGCAATAAGACCAAATGTAATTAATAATTGAATCGAGAGAATTAAATAAACCTATTTTATATAAAATTATTAAAATAAATTTGTTTCTGTAGACTTCAATCAGCACAAACCTTTCGAATAAATACTCGACGAATTTCTTTGCTTTCAAGACCAGTAAAATTTCCCCATTGACCTCCACCTTGTTCATCGTCTTTATAAAAAAACAAAACAAAATCTCAACTTTAATTTAAAAAAAAAAACAGAATTAACTTCATAAATTAGCAAAGTATTTAGAGAATAGTTTTAGTAAAGAAAATAATATATATAATTCTATAATTAAGAATATTAAAAACTGTTGTCTTCATGACTCAGATAAATTAGTCAAGTTGTTGAAAAGTTACAAAAGACACTAGTAAACAGTAAAAAAGTATCGTAGCTCACGCATTCATATATCTCACTAAAGACAGTACTATATGAAAAAATAAAATTCTTTGATCAAAAGATGTTCATCAAGTCGGAGAGCTGAATTTGATGATGAATCACTTCTACAATCGACTATATTGATGCGCAGTGTTTTATCCAGCATGTGAGACATTTGATTAGCTGTTTTTAATTTTCATTTTATTTCTTCTTCGATTAAGCATAAGACAACAAAACTTTTTTGAAATTTTAATCGTAGTCCCTCTTCATTTAGATGATTTTAAAATATTAAATAAAATTACAAACTGATTCTGTTTGTTTATCTATCTCTTTGTGGGTTTGCAGTTCGTATACATATATTGAGAAATAGAGTCTGTTGATTACAAAATATTTCAATCTAGACCTAATAGATCAATTTTTTTCCAAATAAAATCCGGACTGTGCTCTTAATTTTCAAACAAATTTTTAGTATGAGTCTTCAAATTGCTTCGAAGATGCGAGATACTTTTTAACAATTATTTATATTCTTCTAGTAGCATAGTCTATACATTTCTCAAACATTCTTGACAATGATTTTATAACAATCAAGTCATAATTGGCTATTACTTATAGAGTATGATCCTTTTTTATCTATTCAGACTCGAACAACAGGATGAATTCTCTTAAGGAAGATAGCTATGAAAGTAAATCACTTTTAGAAAAAAAGCAAAAAGAAATCGACTATGTCATAGAATAGGAAATTTTCTACAATCTTATGATGGTGATCGATTCTGATCGGCTAACTATTTGTATATTCCTTTTTCATCTTCTGTTTGTCTTGCATTTTTTTCATAAATATATGAAAAATAAATAGTCATACAATATTACAGAACAATATTTTCACAAATGGTATCTTTGAAATCAATACATAAAATCATAGTGACTAATTATTTGACGTAGAAATATTAACTTGAAGTTGAAATAAACATATAGTAAGTTTGATTAATGCTTAGTAAAATAATGTAAAAGAGAAAATAAAATTTTTTGATAAAGAATACGAAATTCAATTATAATCGAAGAATTCAAACGTGTTTCATTGTATTTGTGAAAGAAATTTTCTATTCTAATATGAACATCTAAGTTTAAATTATTCGTTGTTAATATGAATGGCACCCGGCATGAATCATGTTCCTGTTTTTTTTCTTGGATATCCATAAGATAACTATACACGTCATGAGGATGAATAAATATATCTAAATCATAGCAATGATTTCGTTTTTTTTCTCAAAATTGAAATAAAACGAAATTAGAAAATGTTTTATCACCAAAGAATGCTATCTTCAATGGTCTCTACTTTTAAAGACTTACAACCTGCAGAGATATATCTATATTTCCGCGATTTATTAATAAATTTACAAAAACAATTTCATTTATTAAAATAAAACCAACCTTTGCTTAGTTTTGGATGTGACAATACAGGAGGTGTTTGCACTGGCATTTCATTTTTACCATTGGAGCTACCTATAAAAATATATAAGTCAAGCATGAAGATAATTCAATTTAAAGAGGTACCGGGTTGAAAAGGATTCGGTATATATCCAGCCGGTTCTTGAGTTGGATAAGATTGAGAATCCTCGTGTGATGGATTAGGTAAATTGTTGATATTTCGATCTTGACTCATCATATTTATTATTTCTAAAAAAAAGAAACGAGATCTAATGTATAAAAGCAAAGTATTATCAAACTGACGAAGTTTCCTATTTAGTAAAATGCCGAACGTCCACCTCAGGTCATTGTTTATGCAGACAGTGAATCGAAAAAAATATTCACCCAGTTTTGAAGAATTATACATCTTCAATCAAGAATTAGTAATAGCGATATCTTTTGATTCCATTCATAATTCTAGGTCTTAGGAAGTACATTTCAGCTGAAATAATATAATAAAATCAAGTCAACAGGATCTTTTGTAGTTGACCACCTTCAAAACCATAAACTTTGATATGTCGAAGGGAGAGAAAACATTTCCGATTTGTAAGAATTATGCAAAAGAGAAACAACAATTGATATGAAATAACTATTAGGAATAAAAATATTAATTTTGAATAATATATCACCAAGTTTCAGTATACATAAAGCTTGAAAGCTACCAAATTTTTTTTTTATTTATCAATCTCACTGAAAAGTTTTTTCTTATCTCATAATCGGACAGTGTGCATAAATTCGCGCTAAAAGACAATGTAGAGCTAAAGCTTGAAAGCCTTTCTAATGATTTATTGCAGCTACAAAAATATTCCTTTTTTATTAGTAATCAACATGATACAAGCATGATGTATAAAGCTATTTGCTAAAATTCAGATGTTGTCCTCTTAAAAAACGTTTTTTCCATCGAACCTTGCCTATGACTCTAGTATCATGTCAATTATTAATATTGAAGAATATTTTGTAACTGAAACAAATCATTACGAAGACTTTAAAACTTTAGTTTTACAGTGCTTTCTAACGTAAATTTATGCGTACTATCCTACTATGAGGTTGGTTTTGATTTTCTTTTAGAATTTGTTTCTCAGACGAGTCTTTTTTGCATACTCAAACTCTCTGAAATACTATTCAAAATCAATATTTCTATCTCTAACAGTGATTTCATGTCGATTGTTGTTTCTTTTTTGCTTAATTCTAATAAGAAATGGAGAATACTCTGTCTTCGATATATCAGTTTGTGGTTTTGAAAGTAATCTATTAAAAGAGAACGCTTATTAATTAAAATTATCAGATTATTTAAATTGGATTGTGCTTCTTAAGATTTAGAGTCATGAATGAAATCAAAATATTTTACTATTGCTAAATACACATAGAACACGTATAATTGTTCGAAGCTGAACGAATAATTTTTTACAATAAAAATTCGGCATAAAAGAACTATTTTATTTAGAAAATAGAAATAAGAAAGGAAACATGATTGAAAGTAATGATATATATAAACTAGACATCAGTGTGGGAGTTAAAAATGGTGAAGTTATAACTCTAGTTATAACTTTTGAGTTATAACCAATCAACTTTTTGGTCGAAAAGTTATTTTAGTTATAACGTTCAACCATGGTTATAACTTTTAACCAAGGTTATAACTTTTAATCATGGTTATAAAACACGATAGATTATCTAAATGATAAAGTGAGCAGCAAATGATATAAACTGCGTAAATTTTATCGACTTATATATATATATTTGTGTCCAATCGAGGATCGCCCGTCTGAGAACAAAAAAAGAATGATCGTATTATTTACCTCTCTCTATTCATTCTCCCTCGATTTGTTTGTTTACTTACGTTTCGACTAAATGAGAGTGACGAAATAGGCAGATAATGAAAGCAACAACGGCATATATTCCAGTATATCACATTCTTTCGTCTATATGTAAGGTTATACTAGTTGTGAAATAAAAGCTTTGTGCACATATATCTGATAGAGAAAAAAAAATAAAAAAACTATGCACTTAGAAGCAAAACTAAATAATAAAAACAACACAAGAATAATAATAATGCTGGTTTCGGAATATTGAAATGTAATTTATCGAAACTTATAAATTTTGACTTAGTCTTACTTATTTCTGTGAGGAGCATTGACGACAAATAAGACTAAATGTATTCAATTTTTTGATTATTGATTAGTCATTTTATTAGTGAGCTTTTGAATAATAGTTTCAATTGTGGTTTATTTAATATAAAAACTGGAAAAAAGAAATGACAGAAGACTATTACTCGGCATTTTTTCATATGCCTATGCGGAGAAAATCGGTGAATCGACAACTCTTGCTTTTTCAAAACTGTTTGCTAAAGAATTTAGTATTTTTTTTCGCTTCATATACTTTAATTACAAAGTATTCTTTATTAATAACTGTAAACAGTTGATGATTACAACCACGGTTAAAAGTTATAACCTTGGTTAAAGTTATAACTCTGGTTAAAAGTTATAACCATGGCTAAAAGTTATAACCACTGTTATAACCATTTTAACTTTTCGTCAGTTTTCTCAACTTTTAACTTTTGAAAAATGAATTTTAACTCCCACACTGCTAGACATGGGGTACTATATAATGATATCTAGGTGAACTGTCTAAGCTGTTTGATGTCACATAGAGTAAACAAATAGGATGACCTGACATAGATGAATGAACAAACAGATTTTCAACCAACTGTATATGGAGAGGAAAGGAAAAAAATTATTGGTTCATCTGTTTCAATTGATGAACACAACAAAGCGAAAGGTGGCGTACATATTTGCATTGATGAATAAGTCGATCTTCTCTTCACTTAGACCCTTTTTCATCAGATATTATGTTCGTATAGTAATAATGTTTTGCTTTCGTTTGGGATGTATATGCTCGCTCAAAACTAAAATAATCAAGGGCCTCAGTAAAACAAAATCTATAATGAACGATTACGTTTGATAAAATACGTTTCAGCAAAAGATTTGACGAAAGTGTTTGATTGTTTTGGTTTTGAACAATATATATATATATAATCTAAACAATTACATATCATCAGCACTGCACGAGTACTATCATTGATAAAAAAAATCATATTTTTCTGATGTATTGTAGAAGCTGCACGATAAGTAAAAGAACTGGGACATTTGATCTTAGTGGCCACTCTAATAAACGTATTTAGCGGAATTAAAAAGATTAAAAAGCCTTAAAGAAGAAAAACAAATAAATGCTTCAATTGATTGTAATGTGTTTTTTTGTGCTATAATTGTATAAAATCAATAAAATTTTTATCTTTTTTTTTTTTTTTATAACAGAATCAATTGAATAAAATAATTACTTTGATATCCAAACATATATTCAATTTAATAATCCATATATTTTTTTCAAGTGCTCATTGCCATCGAAATATGTTTTTACACAAATTTACTTCTTAATTAAGTAGTAGAAATACATGTATAAACATCAAATAATTTTTTTTTCTCAATAAATTAATCATTTAACACTTAAGAATTTTCAATTCAATGAAAAAAAATGATGTTAAATAAATATATGCAAAACCTCAATTTTCTTTAATATAATTTAACATTTGGTTTTTTATTATATACTATCTTCTACAAGATTTGTTAAAATTTAGCTAGTCATTTATTTTATTTTGTCAAATCATACACAATGCTCTAAAGCAAGCCTTTCTTTACACTTTTCTTTCATTATATAATATTTCATAGTATTACTATGAAAGATAGTCTTTGCTTGAAAAATTATTAAATTGATTTTATCTTTTTACTTACAATTCTAAGTGACATATAGAGTTTAGACAGCTATGGGTTCACATTTTTATGAACCCAAATTCGATATACAAGACCCGATCTTTTTTTCCATCAATCTCTAACACTTTCTGTGCATATCAAAAAAAAGTGAAAAATCAATTTTTTCACTATTTATTGACTATTCTCAGAAAAAGTCAATTTATAGTTCTTCACTTTTGCATCAATTGATGTCTAATCGATGAAACATTTTTGCTTAGTTGCCAAGAAAATTATCGAATTATAAAAGGACATTGAACAGTTAATTAATAAACAAAATTTTTCATTGAAAATCTTCAGCTGTTCGGAATAGTTTTAGCTGTCTGCATGGAAACAAGATCAAGCAAGAATAGGTTCTATACCATCAATGTGAAGATTCACTTGTAAGTCGTCTTCTGGTACTAATTCACTATCTAAGCATATCGTAGCTATCAAAATAAAGAAAACCGGATTTCTCAATAAAAAGTATCAATCAGTTTTATGCATCTTCAAAAAATGAACCAGCTATTTTAAATTTCGTTATGCAGAAAATTAAAACTGCTCGTGTTGATGGACTGAAGGCTAGAAGGATTCGCAGCTACCTAATTTACTTATAAACTTAAAGACTTAATTAAAAACAGGATAACATTAACTATTGCTTTTGTATTTTCTATTGAAAGAATATATACACATTCAAGGTAACTCTGATTTTATACGGGCATGCGTCATTTCATTTTATACTAAATACAAAATAATCAAAAAAAGAAAAAACAAGAGAATAGATTGTCCAACATTATGGCTATCTTCAAATGCATAGTTACATCATATTAGTGAAATAATAAATTACATCCAAAGAGAAAATGTTGATATTTAAATATAAATTTGACTATGTGAAAAACAAGATTGAACTATTAAACAACAAGGTTTAATCTTTTCATAATGAGTTTTCCAAAAATTTCAAGAAAAACAGATTGTTTTAATCGCTCAACTAATTGACAATGATCTTGTTCACAAATAGTCATATGTTCATCTATGTAAATAACAAGAATTTTTTTAAATTTTGTTTTTTTTTCTTTTATGAATGTATTTGAATTATATATCGATGAATTGAGGTGTTTGTAACGACTGTATCCATTGTCTAAATAAAATCCTAAAAAAAGATTCTGATTTAAAGTTCGATCAAATTTAAAGAGAGCAAAAGATAAAGAGAATGAAATAAATCTATATCAAAATAAGGTTTTCTCTTTCTTTTATTACATAAATAACCAAAGATCAGAAAAGATTTTGTTCATCTTGGTTGTAAGTTTGCTCAAAAAAGTTTTCAAATAAATCAATCATGATTAATAGATATCCTTAAATAAAATAAAAGTGCTTTGATAGTTTTTCATAGTTTCTTGACACAAGATTTTAATTATTTTCT